TTGCAACGTGTGCTTCTACAAAATCTACAGTTTTTGTAGCAACATAAATCTTTAGATATACAGGGTGAGATAAAAAACTGCAACAAAGTCAAACGCCATAATTTTTATTTATTTATTTTTTTTTTAATTTTATTGAATGAACTCAAAAAATGTCGGAAATAGCATCAAATTTTAAAATAAGTTTAGATTTGTTCGAATTGGTCACCTTTGACTCGAATTATGGCCTTCAAATGGCTAATGAATCCGTCACACTCTGCCTGAATGTTGCTCTGCGGTATTTTGGTCCATTCCCAACGAAGCGCTTGCTTGACGTGATCGACACTTTGGTATTTTTAAGTGTCGATCTTGCTTTCCAAAATACTCCACACACAATAGTCCAACGGATTGGTATCCGGAGGTTTTTTGTGGCCATTGTGCGCTGGAAATGAATCGAGGAACCTCATTTTGTAACCATTCTGGGTGGCGCGTGCTGAGTGCGGTGGGGCTTTGCGTGCCCAAGGCTTTAATACACCCTCCTGAATATTTTCGCGATAATATTCGGCATTTATTCTGATGCCATGGTCGATTAAAACGAGCGGAGAGCGAGCGAGCCTACCAACAATGGGCAGTTCCACGCTTGACTGCTAGAGACTAGCTCAAGCGAGTTAGGTCGGTACTGAATAGAATGGTGTAACAGGAACGTTAATCCCCCTCCACTACTGGACCGATACTTTCTTAGTACGTTGTAACAATAACAACGTTGTAGGCTGCAATTTTTATTCAGCTTGCAGCCGATTCATAAATTCCACTATCTCATCGTGGACTCGTTGGGACTACGTTACTGCAGCACGTCGCAACATAATCTCTTTCGCTGCAGTTTCGAAAACTCATTAGTTCGGAACAGTTCTTGATAGGGATAGGAAAGCAAGATTAGTGGTGTACTAATAAAAAGAAAAAAAAAAAAAAACAGCAGAATGCATGGTATAATGAGACAAGATAGGCTAACTTTGAAAAAATATGCAAATATAGACGTCTACCTATTTGGCTTGTAATGTCAGAATTACTATAAAAATAATAAAAAAAACAAACAACTTATAATATTTATTTTGAATAATTGAATTGAAACCCGCGAAAACTGAATGAAAGGTCCAAATTTCTTTTCAAAGTCATGTTCTATATACAGTGTGAGATGAAAAAACTGCAACAGCCAATGAAAAAACTGCAACCAACAACAGACTCCTGTCATTTCTAAGCCTCTCGTCCGACTGCTGTTAAAATTATTCCAGCGTACAAAAGCATTTCTGGTGAGAATTTTGCAGAAAAAAAGTTATTCGTGATAGAATTCAGGCGTTATAGTGTGATTTCTTTATATTTGGCAGGAAAACCACAAGTAGCTATCGTTAGAGCACTCCAGTATTTAAATGTGAATAAATCTTTTGTGTCTCGTTCGACAGCATGTTCAAGTCGTCCACGCAAGCCACAGCTATCTGTGACAAGATAAAAAGTAGGAACAAGATCCTCAAGGCGCTAGCCGGCAGAACTTGGAGTGGGGATAAGGAAACCGTGTTGACCTCTTATAACCAGCGTTCGAAAATAAACAGTACACAAACATAGTGTACTGTACCGGTAAAGTATCACTAAACAAATTTTAGCGGTGATGTACCGGTACACTACCACTAAAAAATATTTTAGTGATACTGTACCGGAACACAACGATGATCGTAGTGTACCGCAGTCGGAGCACCAAAAAACGTAGTGTACCGCAGTCGGAGCACTAAAAAACGTAGTGTTCCGCAATCGGAGCATTAAAAAATTAACACTCAGTCATACTTTGTAAAATATTTAGTTTTTTACACACCTACATTCATTGATTTTTCTGTACCACAATATGACAGGTAAATAATTTGCATAATAACCCATTACAACGCAACCACTAAAATAGCCCTTTTCGCGGAAAATTTAAAAAAATTTCAAATTTCAATGGTTAAATACAAATCACTATCACTTCAGATTTGGTCCTTTTTTATTATTTCTAACTATTGTCACATTTTTCTGCTTTCTTCCATTTCGCAACCAATCTAAACATACATGACAAATATAATAAATTCAGCTTTTATTTTCATAATATTGAATTGTATTAGCAATTTTTGCATTATCAAAGACATCTAATTTTCTCACAAATCGTAAACAACACATATGTGGTACACTACCGGTACATAATTTTATTAATGTTCCGTTTTTTAGTGCTCCGACTGCGGTACAGTACGATTCTCGTTGTGCTCCGGTACAGTATCACGAAAATATTTTTTAAGGGTTGTGCTCCGGTACGGTACATTATCTTAGTGTACCACTTCACCTTGGAACGGTACAATACCATACTGTTTATTTTCGAACGCTTCTTATAACGCGATAGGTCGGTCTGTGGTCAGCTATGTGGCTCCAGAGTGATCTGCGAATACTAGTGCTACGCAGGGGAAGCACATCCACACCTGTCAGAATGCTGCCCTGAGAACTACGTTTAGGATGGTGTAGTCGTCTCAATTCGTATTGGGCACGAATTGATGAAAATGTGCGTGACGTCTGCCCGGCGTGTGATACAGACCCGCACAATACGCTGCACCTCTTTTATTGCACAGCCAAACCTACCCAACTCACTCCAGAAGATCTCTGGCTACAGCCCATTAAAGTAGCCGAATTTTCAAACCTGGAGCTTGAACCAGATTAGCAGAACGCAAACACTTACATGTACTACTGCTATAACCCTCTCTTATAAAAGGAATATTTTTCACAATTTCCACATCCTGAGTGTTTTCTAATGATATAGTTTGTTATGATTCCTCCTTCATTTGTTCTTTCATTCCTCAAATAAATTTTGCCATATTTACACTGATTAATGAGATTTTCGTAGTTCACCAAATCGATCGGAATCTGAAGAAGCTAAAGTAAAAACGATCGATTTCGATTACCGAATTCAAGCCATCTTAATATCTTGAGGGAAATTGATAAAGTTCAAAGAGCAGTGTTGTCGCTCTTTTATCGCACTCAGAGAACTTGAACAATGGTTCTCTGGACACTGCGTGTAAAATGTATAGGAGGTGAGGTCAAAACCAGTGATTACATATCACTACGGTTAAACTCCGAACCACTTGATATCCATATACTTGTTAGGGACGTCTGGATTCGTAACAACTCGCCGCTATAAGGGATAGCTGCCTATACTGATGGTTCTAAGGTGAAATGTGGAACGCCTGTAGGGGTCTTCTGTGAAAGCCTAAGCATTAGCAACTCCCTCAAACATCGCAACGACAGTAGCGTATTTTAAATCTGTTGTCAAATAGAAACGCTGAATTTAACGGTCCGTGTCTAAACATGGCGATAGTCAGTCGGCTTTGAAAGAACTTAATTCTAATTTTGCAGTGTACAAAGTGGAGTGGCGACGACACCGATTACAGCAGGCTCTGCCATGATAAGGAGGATGTTTACATTTTCCGCTGTGTTGTCTCGATAGTCGACCTCATTTTTTTTGTTTGGAAGAAGATCTGTCTACTCATTGTGTTGATCCCTGCTTTTGACAGAACGTTGCGTGGTTTTCGGTGTTATTATTTATTTTTTATTATTATTTTTCAGAAAAAAAAAAATCAAAACATAATATAATAATAAGATAGAAAAAGAAATAGTAAATAGACAATGGTATTATAACCGTCTGCCTTATCAATAGAATAACATTAATTCATATCGAATTATATTGACTTATTAACATTTCTCTGTACTTTAAACGCGATAGGTCGCGATATTCTTAAATAAGACACGAGCTGACTCCAATGATTTGTCGTCCGCCCAATATGTTGACCACATTTTCGAGAGATAAGATAGCAGATTGAAAACAGCGTATTCTGAACACTTTCAGAACCGGACATTCTCCCAAGAAATGCAATATAGTTTCATCTTGATTAAGGATGCACAATCTACACTTACTTTCTCTACTATTTGCGTTGAACCTAGTTCCATTTAGCTTAATCAGTCCACATCTAGCTTTAAAAACGATATTTATTTCGTTTCCGTTGTATGTCCATTTCTCATCTCTGCTAAGCCTTCCTCCTTTTCTGAATACAAGGATTTCTGATTTGGACATTTTTAATTTTAGATTCCACATTTTACAATAGTTTTCAAGATTTGAAATCATATACTGTAAAGTGGTCTTGTCGTCTGCCAGTTTAACAATGTCATCTGCATATAAAAGCAATCTTATATTTATATTTTGGATATTTATTCCACCTTGTAACTGTTCATGCAAGTCGTTTATGTATAGTGAGAAAACAATAGGTGATGATGCCAAGTTGTGAGAGTTTGTATATTAGGGATTTTCGATACACGTTGTCAAAGGCTGCTTTGAAGTCCACAAAATAGGCATATACCTTCTTACCCTCATTAAGCTTTAGACTGACAATTGAAGTCAGATTGTACACATTATCAACAGTTGAATACCCCTTCCTAAACCCGGCCTGATATTCTGTAAGTATACGATATTTTCCTACCCAATTGCAGTCTTTCATTTAGAATACCCATCATTAGCTTTGCCAGACAGTTCATGAAAGCAATTCCTCTGTAATTGGAAGGCTCGGTCATATATCCTTTTTTATGAATGGGGAATATTACAGTTTTGATAAATGTATTATCTATCATTCCGTTATTTAAAATCTTATTATATCTGTTGACGAGTTGTTTATGGAAATCCTCTGTGGCGTAGATAATATGTTCGTACGTATGGGATTCTGTCCTCCACCGGTGCTTTGTTCATCTTCAGTTTCTTCAAGCTACATTTAAGTTCTGCCAAACTAGTTACTCTGTCATTTAATGTATCTGAAGATATCAATGAGCTTGTTTGGAATGTTTGGTTTCCCATTTTTTTTCACTGTTTTATACCATTGCTTTGTGTCCCTGACGTTATTTATTGTGTGCATTATACCGGCTTTCGGTATAGTTTCTTACCATTTAATTAATATGGGCCAAAAGGTTGTGAATTTAATGTTATGCTTCAAATCTATTTAAATGTTTATTGGCTACGTTAGTTATAGAGAATCAAATACAAATAAAAATCATTTAAATTGCATTTTTGAGAGTTACAAGAACTAGCGTCAAATTTAGAGATAAAGGGAACACGAAATACTGAATACATTGTAACATAGTAATATATTTACAAGCAAAACAAATGTATTTATTAAATAAAATGTATGTTTAAAAATAGTTATTGATAAATAAGAACTGCATAATCAAGTCTTCTTAAAAATTAATGTATATAAATATTAAAAAATTAATTATTCATTTAATATTAAATTCTTTTTCAATACATTAAAAACTTATTTCCTTAATAGTTGTAAGCATAATCACACGATATCTGCTTTAGCCTTATAAATCTGTCTTAAAAATATTGTTTAATGTTTACCTAATACTATGGTTTTTGACCGTTAATGAATGCAGTACGTTGATACATTTCCAAACAAATATTTGCAGACATATAATAAATAATTGCAGAGTTGTGTCTACTTGGTTGGTCCTGGTGGAAAAGGATTTATCACAGCTACAGCAGCAGCTTGTTGACTTGCAAGTACAGCAGCTAGAAAAATAAATATAACAAAATATTAATTCAAGAAATGACTTCTTTTTGCATTTATTATTGACCACTATTATAAATATATATATATATATATATATATATATATATATATATATATATATATATATATATATATATATATATATATATATATCCGACGATTAATAATTCTGCATATTTTTAAGTTATATGCTGCATCTATCTAATATATGATATACGGTAGTTAGATGCAGCATATAACTTAAAAATATCCAGAATTATTATTATAATTTTTTTATAGTGTAAAGATAAAGAATATAGTAAATTTACTTTTTCGACTATTTCTCTAAATCTTCGAAGAATTTTTGGTATACAAACTAGTACTAGTACTGCTATGGCGAAATATTAATATATATAGAGTCTACATGATACGCAAGTTACGTGTGTACTTTGTTGGCTTCAGTAAGAAAACGGTTAATACTATTATCAAGCAAATAAATCTGTTAAATAATCGTATCACGTACAACCTATTCCATAAAATGTTACTAGAAATTCGTTCATTGATAAGGTTTTGCCGTCTCCTGCGCTAAGTTATAATCTATTTTGGAATTGTAATCAATTTTGAATCGAATTGTTTTCTTATTGTTATTACAATAATAAATATTAGAAATAAATTTTTATATCCTCCACCTTGGAAAGAAGGGTATATTAACTTTGTCATTCCGTTTGTAACATCCCTAAATATTCGTCGTAGACCCCATAATATATTCATAATCAGCATAAAATTCTATGTCGATTTAACGATGTCCGTCTGTCTCTCTGTTGAACACATTATTTGACGTAGAGCGTCAAAATTTAGCAAAATAACTTGTATTGTGTCTAGGATGGTTGGTATTGAAAATGAGATGTATCGGTCCAAGTTTTGGTATAATCCCCATATAACGGTACATCCTGATATTCGGTATTTTGATGATTTTTGCCACATTTTCCCACGAATATGTCTAAAATTTGGTATTAGTGGGTCATAATTGGTTCTAATGTTTCCATTACCCTAAGCTGAAGGGTAATAAATGTTCGGCCCGGCCGAACTTAATGTTTTTTACTTGTTTTAATTAATTTAATTTTTATTTTTTTATTATACCCTTGGAAATGAGGGTATATTAACTTTGTCTTTCCTTTTGTAACATCCCTAAATATTCATCGTAGACCCCATATAGTATATATATTCATAATCAGCATAAAATTCTTAGTCGATTTACCGATGTCCGTCCGTCTGTTGAAATCACGATACAGCCTACATTATTTGACGTAGAGCGTCAAAATTTAGCAGCACAATTTGTATTGTGCCTAGGATGGTTGGTATTGAAAATGAGATACATCGACCCCCATTTTGGTATAGACCCCATATAACGGTAACTCCCGATATTCGGTATTTTGATAATTTTTCTCACTTTTTCCCACGAATTTGTCTAAAAATAGGTATTTGTGGGTCATAATGGGTTCTAGCACGTATGGCGGAACATTGTATGTATAGGTCCACATTCCGGTATAGCCTCCATATAACGGTACCTCTCGATATTCGGTGATTTGATGATGTTGCACATTATTTAACGGATTTGTCCAGAAATTGGTATTTGTAGTTGGGAATGTGTTGTAGATCGTGTGGAAACATTGTATGTTCACGTTTTGGTATAGCCTCCATATAACGGTACCTGCCGACATTCGATATATTGATAAAAGTTGGTATTTTTAGTTCATAATGGGTTCTAGCCCGGTGGCAGAACATTGAATATTCAGTTCCACGTTTTCCTATAGCGCACATATAACGATACCCACCGATATTCGGTATTTTGATAATCCTAATCACATTTAACCACATAAGTGTTTCAAATTTGTTTCCATGTGCGAACATTTCTTGGAATGATCACAAATTATAAAATTCATTCCGAATACATCAATTTTGCGACATCCTTTGGGACAGCTGTTGGAAGATAGTGGGAAATTTCCGTGGACATCAAATTGAAGAAAACGCTCAAGAATCTAAAAGGAGAAATTTTTGAAGTCCTACACGTATTGGTGATGTTTTATCACAGTTAACTGGACCGTGAGGCGTTGGCTATGCATATGCTATTTATGTGGTTGGATTCACTTGTGCGGATTTTATGTCAAAACACAATCGATTTATTTGATGTACGCCTCTGTGTGTTAAAATAGTTTGGGTCTGCTTGCTACCTTCATCCACTCGTACATGTAAATATGCTTGGTACAGGTCAATCTTGCAGAAAAATTGAGAATTTTTAAGTGTATTTCATTTATTTTCATTTTAGAAAATTTGATAGATGACAAGCCTTGGAGTATAAAATTGTCTATAGAGGTTCCCGTTTTGGTATGGCCCCATATAACGACCTCACTCACTTTACGTTTTTTTGATAAAAGGTTTGCAAAAGGTTTTACTGATATATGTAATTTAAAGTGAAACACGCTTGAATTTGTCCTTCAAATAAAAACATAATTTTGAGAAAATAGTCGGTATTTTTAATAGCATTTCCAAAAACAAAGTTATTTGACGGACCCCGTAGATCTGAATTTCCCAAAGCAGCGATAATATTGTGTAGGCCTCGAAATTTGGGACCGATTTGAACTTTGTTTAGCCACACACAACCGAAAGAGCAACTAATACCTCCAATATTGAAAAAAATATTAATTCATTAAGAGACAAGAAAAAAAAAACACATGTGCATTTATTTACAAGCTTAGGGCTATGATTAAATTCTGAACAAACAGACGAAGATATTTTGTTGTGTTTGTTTTAGTTCAATTGATTCTTATATAAAAGGAAAAGGATTGGAATGGAATAATTGTGTCGGTATATGCACTGACGGAGCTCAGGCTATGTGCGGGAAAATTAGCAGTGTGTTTCCAAGAGTTCATTAAAGAAAACCTAATGTGCTTTGTGGACTGACAGATATGCCCTGGTTTCAAAAGAATTATTAATAAAAGAATAAAAACTGTGCTAAATATAGCTGCACAACTTGCAAATTACATGAAAGCAATGCCTTTACAAGTAATTTTGTTTCACAAGTTGTATGAAAAAATGGGACGTCTTCATACAGCTCTTCTCCATATTGAGACACGTCGGTTGTCAAGGGGAAATATACAGGCACGGTCAGTGGAACTGCGAAATAAAGTATCAAAATACTTACAAAGAAACTGCGAGTGTATTGTATTGTAGTATAAATTTGCTACAATTTAGTCCAACAGTGTTACCGGCGACCGCATCAAAAGAGAATGATTTAAACGACATAATTAAATGCAAAAAAATAAGCATCGTCAATAGCCGAAACTGGTTTGCTGCGACGATGCAAATTGCTCATTAATCGGTTTCCACCGTATTATTATTAAAAACAAAACAACTATTATTGAACAGAAACAAGACAAGTGAAAAAACTACAGTGAAACGTAAAAATAAGTAAAAAAAATAAATAAATAAACAGTTAGGTTAGGTGCTACAGTAATTAAAAATTTAGAAAAACTGCAATTTTTGAAGTCAAACAAAAATTAAAATTTTACTAAAACTTCCTAATACACAAATAAATATACAATTAGACAGTATAAAAAACGAAATTAAAAGTGCTTTAAACTACAATGAAATGGAAAATAGTTTAAGCAACAGGCAAAAGCATTTTTAATCAAATCATTTCGGTATCACATACAAAGTAATTGTTTCGTAATAATTTGACTCTCGTCGATAAAAACTGAAGAAGGAAACATTATCCTTATTTTAAAATACAAATGTGAATAAAAAGTTGAAATTTTAATCCAAGTAAGTCAGCGATAAGTTCCAGAAAAAGAAGTAAACCTAAAAAAATTGAGGAAACTATGGACACCATGAGACCATACAAAAAGGAGCTGAATTCAATAAATTGACAAATTCAAATTCATTTGGATGAAAAGATACAGGATAAAATCGAAAGAGAGGCTAGAGGAATTATTTCACGTGTCCCACTAACTAATAATGGATTAACATTAGCACGGAATCTTACGATTCATTATGAAAAAAGGATGCAAATTAGTGAAGAAATTAAGACATTTTTAATTAACCTGGTGTGTCTGCAGAATCAGTCACACGATTCAAACACTATAACGTACAATCAAAAGCTGCATTCAGACTCGGGGGATGCTTGAAATCAATGTCAACGAACGAATCAATGTCACCTAAACTACATTTAGGCTTTTTAGAAGAATTCAAGAAGCCAGAATTAGAACAATTTGACAACAATGTGATGTTTGTAGCCATTATCCAATTTTATTTGATAGTGAAGATTACTAAACTTGAATGACAACTCTGAACTTCCATGTCGGTTTGTTTTTGTTGTACCACAGGATCTGCACGCTTTTCCCATGCTCGCAATTTAAAGTTTGGATGTACCTTTCGGCTGATCCATTTGTGGCTGGATGACCTGAAGCAATAATTTTTGGATAATTCCATTATCCATACAAAAATGTCGGAAAACATAGCGTTGAAAAATTGTAGCGTTGTCGTTTTGAACGAGAAGAATAGTTTTTTCAGTGTTTGAGGCCTCTCGAATTATTTCAACTTCTGACCATTTCGGATATGCATCCAACAACACGAAAAAATTATGATTTTGAAACAATACTGCGTAGTCGATATGGACCCTTTGAAAATTTCCCATTGATGCCTAATTACTTTAGCAGGAGTTTTACTCACCTGAGCACAATTTTGGAAGGCTCTTACCAAATGCTCGATATCGGAATCAATATTTTTCCAATAAAAAAATCTACGTGCCGACTGCTTCATTTTCAAAACGTCTATGTGTATATGATATACTTCATTGATAATATATGAACGTAGGTTGACAGTAATGGTTATCCGATCGTCACGAAATATAACTCCATCTTGCACGGAATAACTTGGCTCCAAGTTTTTTCCCGCTCAGTAGGTCTATTTTCAAAGTTGATAATTAGGGGCCCCTTTCTGTCCCCAGTGCAGCAGTTGCAAC